AAAAATAAAGTAGTGTTTACGTGCGGGGAGCAAAGTAGACGGACTGGTAACACAATGTGGGCGGGGCTTCTGTCTAGTACCGGAAAAGTTGTGGACGCCCAACATGATTTCTATCTCTATTGATCTGGGGGGCTCTATCTCTCTCTGTCTTTTCTCTCTCCTCTTCTCTCTCTCTCTCTCTCTGGATCTGTCTCTCTCTCTCTCTCTCTCTCTCTCTCTCTCTCTCTCTCTCTCTCTCTCTCTCTCTCTCTCTCTCTCTCTCTCTCTCTAACACACACACACACACACACACACACACACACACACACACACACACACACATATATATATATATATATACATACATATATATATACATATATATACATACATATATATATACATACATATATATATATATATATACATACATACATATATATATTATATATATATATATATATATATATATGAGAGAGAGAGAGAGAGAGAGAGAGAGAGAGAGAGAGAGAGAGAGAGAGAGAGAGAGAGAGAGAGAGAGAGAGAGAGAGAGAGAAAGGAAAAACAGCGAGAGAGGTTGTTATGTCTGAGTGAGTGAATGCTCAGGAAGATATCACAGATTCCATTTGCACCGAATACTTTAAGATTTACAGTATTCTAGCTATAATTACCAAGCAAGGGTGGCCTCCTCATCGGTATGGTTCCCCCAATATCATTATAATTATTGTCGTATTTAAGGGCTCCAGGAAGGAACAACCTCAGAACTTTACACCTAATTCATTTACACCAATTGGCAATAGGTCCGTAGCCTCCGGCATTAGCCCGAGGGAGGTGGGAACTTATCTGTCAGTGGCGGGCGTAGATCTAGTGGGGGAGGGGGAGTCACGTTCCTCTTATGTCCTTAGAAATGCGCGCCCCCTTCCCTCCACGTGGGAAAAATAATCATTTCTTTTAAAAGCAAAATTATTTCTCTTTATTTGTTTATCTCCATCCCTGGATTCCACGTTTTTGCACTGAGTTCTGCGAAAAGTTAGGATCGCACGACTAGTCATGCACTTGGTAGGGAGAATGTTTATACCCACGACACCTGATGTCTACCATCCAAAGATTTCAGACAAATAATTGTACAGTACCGTGCATATAATTGATTTTATTGGATTGTTCGTCTTGCGTTGCGTACCGTTATATGTTACCTTTATTTCCATGCATCCTGCTATCGCCAACATTTTTCCTTATCATTCCAATTATTCCTTAAATATTCACCCTTTTCCACTGTCAACACGTTAATTGACAATGACACGATAGAGCTGGTAACCCAATGATTGTTTATCAAAGTGACTACAACGCGAATTTTGTGCCTATCCACTTATAAGAAGTAGAGCCCATCCCACTGTGCACCTTTCATGTATTCGAATGTATTGTATATATGGCAATAAGGAGAGTTTGCTACGAATGTTATCCTATAGAGGTTTATGTATAACTGAAGGGCAACTGCACGAGCATAGCAAATAAAAGCTGAGAAGAGAGGAAGGATTTAAAATTTGGAAAGAAAAGAGAGGATGAAGAAGGAGCTGAGGAGGAGGAGAGAGAGGGGAGAAAATGAGATTCGGAAACGAGAAAGAGCCGAGGTTTCCTGATCAAGTACACGCTTCGTACGCATGCAGATAGTAACACCACTTAATTCTAGATTACAGATGTACAGTGCATATCGACTAACGGATACTCTTAATTAGGCAGGCCACTGTGTATCTGCTGAGTTACTCTGAGATAATGTTGGATCTGCATTGAATTTCTTACGTAATGTCAATGGATACACTTACTCATTAAGATTAGAATAACTATTTTATCATAATATGTAATATGTTATTTATCATAATATTATCATATGTAATATGTTTATCATAATATTTTAATGGATAAACTAACTAGGACTAGAATAACTAATTTATCATAACATGTAAATAATATGTACTGGATGCAGTATCGCTGTTACGAGTATATCTTAGCTAGTTTTCTAAAGATTAAAAATTCGTGATGATGTCTTATTTCGCGGCGCAAAATGTACCTCTATGGAAAATTTCGCGTCGCACCTACAGCTGTAGCGCGCTGTCCGCCCGACGTACATTTTGCGTCAAATTTCGCTCTTACTTTTATCATTAATACACACAGATCAAGACAGTTAGTTAGCGATTGGGTGATCTATACCTTCATTTGTAATATAATGGCGTATTGTTTTTTTTTTTTTTTTCTTCTTCTTATTCAACTCTACTATGTATTGTATTTCCTTTATTTATAGAACGTATTTTAAAATTCGCCAATCACCATCCGGTCAGTTTACTACCATCCCTACCCAGAAGAAAAGCCTTGTTTACGAGTTCCTTTTCCTCTCCCCAACCCCTGCTAATGGTGTTACACTCTTATTATCATTTCTTTTCGTTATTCTTTTCGTTTTCTTTTTCTTTTATCTTTTTACCAACTGTACCCGTATTTTTTTCATCTATAAGGATCATGGGATTCTCCTGCCACTATAAATACATCATATACGTATCATAAGGCTTCACCCTCTAAATTCACTTCTCATATATTCCATGAATATTCATACACATTTTTTCGAAATAAAGCGATTATATCGTGAACGGGTGTTATTAGTACAAAAATTTATGCACAGCTTGAAGTATACTAAATGAGCTGCGCACATACCCAAGGACTATTGCACAAACACTTGAAACGCACATACGCACACACATATGTGCGAGCATGTGTTACAGATGTACATACAGATGTGTCGCTCAGAGAACAGTATAAAACGTGGTACATCTGCTGAGTATCTTTTGTTACACAGTTAGCCCTGTTTTCATACTTCCGTGACTTGTTCAAAGAGCAACTCGCACTAAGCAAGCGCACAATGTTCAATTATAGCAGTTTAATCAGAGCGGAAAGAGTACTTGAGTACTTGAAATCAATTCATTTGGAATACGTTTCATTTAGACATAAAATGCAAATATATAAATGGAGTAATGTATTTATTTCTAATAAAATTCAGTATAATCAACTACGAACATAAAAGAAATAGAAAGAAAAAAAACATCACGAGGACCGGTACTATGAGAACCCCAAGGTTTTCCTTCCAAGGATGGAGATGAAATATCAGCTGTGGAATTTTATACCTTTTAGTCGAAACAGAATCATGTCACCCAGTGGCCTTATAAATAAACATGTATTTCACTTCCACTTTATCGAAAATATCTGTTGGATCGTTGCACAGTAATTGTAATTAGATTAATCATTCGGCCGCGCAAACAGATTTACAGGAAAGCGTTTCTGCGAAATGGTCCAGGGAGGGAAATGGCGGAACGGGCAGGAAGGATATGAGAGCTGGTAACCCTCCCTTGTCCTGGGGACAGGCCTCTGCCATGGTGTCTCTGGGCGGGCCACGTTGTTGTAGGCCACCATCCGTGGTTTTGTTATTATTATTATTTGCGAAATATTATGATGCTGCATCAATTATTCTTTTCGATGTGATTTAAATCTTTTCTTTTAAGTCTTTTGTTTTGCCTAGGATTTTTTTTTTTTTTTTTTGTTCAGATTGGTGTACAAAGAACTGTCTGGGAGTCCTGCAGGGTTATCGAACATGAGGTCATCACATTAGAAATAGTACATTTTGCTCAAAGATAATAATTGCCACGAGATGCAGAACAACTTAATAATATCCTCTAGCGACCCCTGACAACACGCCCACCCCACACCCCCCGCCACTATAGCCCTTAACTGATCGCTCTTACAGTAATGCCATATAGCAACACCCAATGTAATAAACCCGTAAATAACATTTCTACCTGAAAAATTACTCAAAATCCTATTTTCCACCTCGGCAAGCGAAATTTCCCCTCTCGTCCTCTCGTATACTGTCATTTACACATAAAGTGAGATGTTGAGGTTACGGGGGTTGGTGGCCGGGAACAAGCTATTCACCAGTCCGGGAACTGGAGAGCTTCAGTTGGGTTTGTGTCGTTGTGATCGCCATGTCGCTCTCTAGGTGCTTCACCACCGCTCTCCGGTCCCGCCGTGCCTTGGAGAGGACTCTTCTGCCTGCTGCCTCTGCTGTTACAGGCTTCAACAAGGTACTCCTATGAAGGACAGGGGATTTTATTTCGTTCTCCTCAAAATCTTGTATTTCTCTGATTCAGATTTTTGTGTTTGTTAAGTACTGCCTGTCCATGAGTCATTAGCATAAGACTGAAGGAAACATAAACGATGTGAATTTTGTTCCTTATAATTTAGAAACGATTGAATTTTTCCTTTATTCTTCCTGCAATGACCAAACTGAAGCCAGCCGGCAGAACGCTCTCCAGATGCTTTGTATTCAACACGCTCCTTTGTTATTCCGTGTCACAAGACGAAGTGTTTCTGAATTAGTGCAAATCCGTTGATGAATAAAAGCTTGTCGAAACTACATGCAGAAACACAGCAGTTGTCCCTGAAAAGAAACCTTGATTAAATACAAAATCTGATCAACAGGTGGCAGGTTAAGTGTCTGGCAACTGTACCCTGCTGAAGGAGTCTGGGCCTTTTATTGACCTGAATGGAAGGGAATTGATTCAGGCGAGTGTCGCCATGCACACATGTTTGAGGACTTGGTTATCACAATGCACTTGATTTAGACCCACAAGAAAGGTTCCTTAATTAGTTTCATGTGCGCCGCCATACCCACCAAACTCCTAAATTTGAAGATGTAAACGGTAGAATAATTAGAAATCTCATTTTGTTTGTGTTACAACTTAGATGAAACTAACATTGAAATAGTGTTTGTGAGAAAAGTTTATATGTCTTGGTATGGAAATAATGAATGCCCTTCCATTTTAGGCAGTCTATTCTTCCAACGCATACCTATCGATGTAGGCCTAAGTTTCCTCACACGTGTCTCAGGAGTGCCGACAGTTATCAATTACCAATTACCCAGTAATTGTTATCTCTCAAACCGATCTGAACAATGCCATGTATTTTTGCCTCAAACAGAACTAAGGACTAAAGAACTGATACATTGTCAGTCTACAACGAGTCCTTTACAAATTTATTCATGCATGGCCTTCAAATCGATAGGCCTACTTTGAAATAATACCGTGTAGGTTTGCGTGTACTGTTCCTTCCCACGTCCAACTACACCAAGTAGCTGATAAGGCCGCTGCTTCTTTTCTTCCCGTGCACATGCACACACACGCACACGCTCACGCACGCGCGCGCGCACACATTCACACACACGCACACACACACACACACACACACACACACACACACACACACACACACACACACACACACACACACACACACACACACACACACACATGCACACACATGCACACACACACACACACACACACACACACACACACACACACACCATGCACACACACACACACAACACACATGCACACACACACACATGCACACACACACATGCACACACACACATGCACACACACACACACACATGCACACACACACACACACATGCACACACACACACACACACACACACACACACACACACACACACACACACACACACACACACACCACACACACACACACACACACACACACACACACACACACACACACACACACACACACACACACAATCACACCCTTCTCTCATCTTTCTCGACTCATACATAGTTTAGTTTTAGAATATATATTCTTCCAAAAATCATGACAACTACTTGTTCCGGACGATAAGAGCAGGCAAGGGACATAATTCATTTAAACCTTAGGTACAGTTTGAGTACAGATGTTCCGGTAAACGTGTGTGCGGCAGGACCTATTGTAAGGGGAGGCCTAACACACACGAGGCTATTTACGAAATTTGGTTTTACTGTTATGTGGATCTCTCGGTTCCATTTTACAGCCCTTTTCACTTTGAACAATCACTAGATTAATCCGTTATTGAAGCTATACAGAGATGGAAGATATCATGTCCAGTCCTTTCACGAAATATTGCCACAGTTATCTGACAAAGGCAATACTCGTAAAGTTACATTCAGGATACGGCTTAGCAATCCTATCGGGTCTTATCAACTCCAGGGCTGGTGGGAGTTCGCGAGGAGGTCCTTCATCTACGGATGCTTTTAGTTATATTTTTGTTTTATAGCGTAGAGGGAGATGGTATATCTTTACCTTGCTTTCCCTTTTTCCGCTAATGCAATGTTTTCCGTTCTCTCTCTCTCTCTCTCTCTCTCTCTCTCTCTCTCTCTCTCTCTCTCTCTCTCTCTCTCTCTCTCTCTCTCTCTCTCTCTACTGTGTGTTTTGTTTTTGATTATGGGTGAGTGAATATTAATATTGTTCATTAACGGTGCTACTATTTGCATAAACTTTACGATTTCCTCCACAATAGTCTAGCTGTCTGATATCTCTTGTGTGCACCACAATGATATGCCAAATTGTGTAATATATTTCAGTATGTTCCGTTGAGCTTTTACATTACATTTGCTGTTTATATATTAATATAACATGACTAAATCAAAGTTGCAGGGCGTCTCACTCTCTAATGCACGCAACATTTCCCCCTAATACACCATACTGATAAGTCTGATTTTTTCTACTCCACCCTAAACAGTGGACCTCTCACATATTCTATGCTGTTCACCAGACCCCGAACAGCGCTGCACAACGTGCCTTCTAAAAGCTGTAGTCAGGCAGAGTGAGTCACTCGTAGCCAAATTTTATATCAGTGTGGTTTTCTCGTATTACAAACTAGGTAGTACATGTCACTAGAGCACTAAGTGTAGCTTTCTCAAATGAATATGTAGACATAACAAAGCTTAAACTTGCGCCATATATCTCATCGGAACTCTAAACACAGACTATCATTAAGCACCCTCCCTTCAAATAACTTAGCAGGACAAAGGAAAGAAATGAGGGTATGGAGAGGATGAAGAAATACAGCATGCCCCAGAAAAGAAGATAAATGTATGCAGTTAGTGTGGCTGAATGCACGTAGACTCCCATGCGAAGTAGGTTAGATGCTATCGGGGTATGAGGAAGTTTGGTGAGTAATTTTTCATATTTTGTTTTCTTTTTCCAGGTTGCAGAAGATGAAGCCAGAGGAAAACTATACTATGCTCCTACTGCTCAGGTGAGTTGCGCTTATGAGAAATCCTTCAGTTTGTGCGAGACCGTAATCGTGCCATCACTCTAGATTGTATTCCCAGGGTAGACGAAGGTCTTGTGAGCTGACATATGCAAATGAATATACATGATATAATCCGTACAGTACATACAACGCCTTGGAAGATGCAGATACAGACACGCACACAATACAAATACACATCCAAACACAAACACAAGCTTTATTCCAGCCAAAACCAGATTATCATAACTAAAATGCAACTCCCTGTCCAGTCGCAGGTGGGCCACGTGCGTCACTACAGCAAGCGGGCCAGCGTGCGCAAACACCAAGAGTCCGACTCCGATTCGTCCGACTCCGACCGCGAGTCCGGGAAGGGGAAGCGGGCCACGAGGGTGAGTTGGCGGTTGTTTCTTTAGTTTTGTTTGCTTTGTTATGCTTCCTTATTTGTTTTTCGTTTGTTTATATTAATATGTTCACAAATTTTTTGTGTCCTCTTGTTATTATTTGTTTTATTTCTTTGGTTTTATTTTGCGTTTTTCGTTGTTTTATTTGTTTATTCCCCCGGTTATTTTGCTTAGTTTCGTATAGTGTTTTAGTATTGTTTTATCTGTCAATGTTTCTAGATTTTGTGATTTTTTTCTTTCACTGAATTTTAGAAAAGACAGGATTCCTTGACATTTTGTTGCTATCTCCAGGAAAGGTTCTCGGGGATTTAATGTGTCTGAAAATACAAGTACCCCAGAACAGGACTCAGGGTGTATCACGGTGTTACATGACAAGCAGTTGGATCTTATTATGTGTCTGTTCACATTAATCAAAGCTTTTTGACATATGCAATTATCCATCTTATTGAATCCAGCGTTAAGATTGGTAGGAAAATCACCCTGAAAATTCTCAGCATACCTCCAGTTGAGAAGCACTGACCCTAGACATATTACTTGTTCTGGTACATCTATATCTAACTTCCAATGTAATTTTCACCAATTGGTTCGATAAGAAAGAGTAATCGAGCGATAGGCCTAACCTAAACTAACTGGTAGTGCCTTACCTGCTATTAATCTTATCTTTTCGGAACTGAAGAATAATAATGATAAGGTTCAGACACATACAAGTATTGTCATCTGCACATCTTTCTCTCGATGGCGATTAAATTCATTTCATGAGACATCTTGACAACAATTCCCCTTCAGGAAGTTGGAACAAACGCCAAGCTTCTCGTTTTATTTTGTTATGTAAACTTTCATGTTTTTTTTTCTTTTTTCTTGTTTTTTTCTTTTAGCTTTTCCGCCATCTTCAACTTCAAAATCGATGTAAGATAAATAAAAAAAAGTATTTGGTCGATCTCTGCAATAAGGGTGATAGTGATAATAATGATGACAATGATAATGATAATAATTGCCACAATGATAATGATAATAATCACAATGATAATGATAATAATGTCACAATGATAATGATAATAATGATCACAATGAAATGATAAAATGTCACAATGATAAATAATGATCACATGATAATAATGATTGATAATGATAATGATTGATATTAAAAATGATATTGATTATATTAGGAATAGTAATATATTGATTATATTGTTCATGACGATAGTAATGATGATAATAGTACCAATCATCATGACAATAGTAATAAATAGTGTTGATATTACAAGTAATATTAATAGTAATGATGATAATGATAGTAATAATAGTGATATTAATGCTAATAAGTAATGATAATGATCATAATAATAATAATGTACCTACAACAGTAATTATAATAATGCTAATGGTAATAATGATACTAATAATGATAATGATTGCTATTGCTATTGATAATGACTAATTATTATTAATATAGTGATAATAGGAATAAGTATTAGAATATGAACGATGGTGATTATGACCTAAACCACAAACCCGAGTGACGCAAATAATTTATGGAGATCTGCCACCAAGAAACAAATGCACATCGGTCTTGTTTTCTTCCTATTTTTCCTTTTCTTTTGCACCTCCGCCATCTTCATCATAAAAATATTATACGGGTTTTTAAAAAAATCAAGTGAAGTTTCTCTTTAAAGAATTATCCAACCGACAACCAATGAACCAAATGCCATTACGTTCTTATGAGGCCTACAATGAACCAAATGTCATAGCATAAAGAAACACACCTTTTATTTACGTTTTCATGATGCTATAACCAGCACTTTCTAGAAAATACTGGATATGCTATAAAGGCACATGGCGAAAGTAAAGATCTGGAGGTACACGGCAAAAGTAAACCCTTGGATAGTCTAAGCACGTCACCATGCCGAGCGGGAGAATGGTTAACCTCACCAAGCACCGAGTAGTTGTTTTATAAATGTATTTGGTTGTAGTGTATTTAACCTCACCAAAGACGCAGAACAGTCATTTTATAAATATATATATATATCTTTTACTCTGTGTATTTAACCTCACGAAGCACCCCGAGTACAGTTATTTTATAGATATATTTGTTTACGGCGTGCATATAATCTGACGAAGCACGGAGTACAGTTATTTTATAAATGTTTTTGTTTGCTGTGTGTAGTTTAACTCACTTGCAGTCTATATATTGCCCAGTGTATACGTTATATTTAGGCTGTAGATGAAGGGTATTGTTTCCAACATTTGTGTAATATATAATGCATTATATTTATATTGCATTGCATTTAATATTCTGGATTTGCCTTTACTTGTGGTTACGTGAAAGTTATTCTCCCGATACGCCATAGGAACTATATTAATTGATTTATTTTGTCTCGCATTCTTCTGCCTGTTTGACGAAGAGACGCACTGATTTACTTCATTTTTCCTTATTGTTATATTTTTAGCTTTAACTTTACAGACATGATGCTTACTTAGCCATGTATTTTATTTTACTGTATAAGATTATTATTTACTTTCTTTGTATGCTAGCGTTCATAATTTAAACGCTTTACGTTGTCAGGATAGAGCAATTTGTCTCTAAAGTTTTATATTTACAAAGTATCATATCAGTGATCTATTGAGTGCCTCTATCTACGAATATATTTATTAGTTTTACTGTATTTGTTTACTGAGCATTTCATTATTTGATTTTTTCTGGTCATTTTTTTACCATAGTTCTCATTACGCAAGGTACATGGCTTCGTAGATTTATTCTTTAGTTTTATTTACACTCTGCACCTTTCGTCCCCTACCATGTGACGTAATAAGTTGAGTAATTTTCATTACGACAAACGTAGAAAAGATTTTAATGAGAATGAATATCTTCACTGTACAAGAGTTGCATTTGTCCGTTTCCATTATATCTTCGTGAGAAATACATGAATTTTTGACGAAGATGTAAAGGAAGCTGGTCGAATTCATCTCTTGTTAAGATCTTTAGTCACATTCTTGTGTCAGAAGAGTTCTTGGGGATCCCAACGCCTTGATAAGAACAAATCCATGAAGGAAGGAGTTTGCTATCCACGTGGGTGTGGGTCAGTATGGGGAGGGGCGTTCAAGTATGGGTCTGGATATATATGTGTCTATTTGCGCGATTAATTTCGTCTGCGTGCACTTCAGAATGCTTTCAGTCAGAAGCAAGCGATATTTGTGTGATTAACAGAAAACGCAGTGTCAGCCCTGATGAAAATCATTAAAAACACACTTGCTGTTGAGGTAGGAGTGGCTTCTTTCAACTCCTTCGGAAAATTATCAAAAAACAGATATATGTATACGCAACTTATCCTTTTCACAGCATGATACAACTATATTGATGAACCACACAAAATCTTTTCTCACAGCGCGTGCAAATGTCATTGCAAACGCATATAAAATACAGCAACGCCATCAAATGCCACCATAAATCCAAGAGCCAGAGAACTTACCACACAGCATCATCAGGCAGCTGGTCGCTTTCACGCTGAGGAAGGTCATCAACAGGGCAGCGGGATCATAGCAGCATCACGTATACACCTAACCTGAGGGAAAGGCACACCCAGTGTTTACTACGTCACCGCGCGGGGGATAATGTGCTTGACCGCCTCCATGTACATTTTCTGGTTGTGTTTTCCTCCTCTCCCGTCTCACTCCTCTCTTCTATTTGGTTATTTTTTGTTTTGTTTATACGGTCCTCTTGTTCCCAACTCGCCGCCTATGTTTAATCTGAACTGCGTGGTTTTCAGTGGTGGTTTTCACTGCGTTCTTCCCCTTTGATAGGTTATGTTTAGCGAGCGTGGTCTGATTGTAAACATTATAAGGCGGACTCATTTACTTTTCGAGCCTTTCGCAGTTCACTTCAAATAGATTATTTCACCTTGGAGTATCCAGTTGACGATTTGCCAGTTGCAGTTACAGTAATTTTAACCGGAAGAGTTTAATTATATTGACGATATATCTCTATTGAATATAATATTTTTTCAGAAGATATATGATTAAAAAAGTTTTCGTTGCGTTTGTAGAATCAAAGTTAAAATGTAGCTTTAGTGGTGTTACATTCATTGCTATGCATGTGTGATGCATACAAGACCTGATTTAAGCTTGACGAGGCCCTGAACTGTACGAACCTAGGAAGCCCTTTGTGATGTCACCAAAAGTAATATATTAGAGGCCCTTATGATGAGCGATACCCCAGTCTATACCCATTTAGTGTAAATATGGGTGCAGATCTATACATGTATCACCAAAGGCAGTATTTTTTTATTGTTTGTTTTACTATAAACAAGACGCAATAGGATTTTCTTAAACATTGGCAGTGTAAGCTATTCATCTGACTAGAAAGTTTAAATATTTTTTGAGCCCAGTTCATGGATTTAAGATGAAAGATCAAAACATGTCGCCTACAAGATCAAACCAATCTACATTATACCCTTGATTTCTAAACTGATAACACCCGTGGCCATTTGGAAATAAACGATCCATTTGTAATAAGTTACCTCTTGATCCTTTAATATAATTTCTTGTTGATTATCAGTGCTATTTTAATCGTTATTTATTTTTATTTATGACAGATTTATTGACAGATTTTTTTTTTTTATTTTTTTTTTTTTACATTTTGAATATTTTAATATTTTAACCCCTTAAGGTATTCACCGCTAATGACCTTAGCTGTTGACGCGGCAGATAATTTTACATAATCGACCCACCTTCATTTCTGGCACTGACACTGTAGCTAGACTGAAATGTATACAACGATGCGGCGAAACACGTAGCGGAAGGCACTCGTTCAGGTGTTCGTATGAGGCATGTTTGTGGCCACGTGTCGGTTCTGTCCTCAGAGTCGGGGCGTAGCGGTTTGTTTGTTACTTTTTCTATCTGTCAGTGAGTTGACTAGAACGCTGAAGATATGATTTGACCCAAATGGTATATATACGATTGAGTAGTGATGAAATTGTTTAATATAATTTCTG